GGAACCAGCAGTTAGCGTAATGGCTATGTCGCTGGACTCCCACGCAGTCGACCGCGGTTCGCATCCCGGACCTGGTGGCTTAAAACACGGCGGGCACGTGTGTGTGCGTGCCCAAGATCCCGAGAGGAGAATGGAAGAGAAGGGATTGCGGCGTGACCATCCCCCCTGGGGGGTGATTTCTCGCTTTCTGTCTCTCTGTCTCTGTCTGCCTGGTGAGCGCACGCGCCCTATAGCGAAAACCTCTCCAAAAAAAAAAAAGTGTCCAAAGGGTATGAGGGGAGGCACAGGTGCTAGAAACCCATGACCATTGGGGGAGGGTGGCCCTATAGTAGGCTTTCTGGTGGCAGAGGCAGAGATGGCCCAAGGGGCACTGCTGAGTAAGTGACAGCCCACACAGGGGCAGGGGCTAGATTCCAACCACAGACAGGGCTACAGACCTGGACAGTCAGCTCACAGGAGCTGGGTGGGCAGGGGGCGCAGAATCAAGGGCAACACTGGAATTCTGGACAGTTCTGTCTGGGGGTGATGCTACCAGACCCTAAAATTCCTCAGCTGTCTCAGTGTGCTCACAGGTGCTGTGAAACCCCACAAGCTCAGGGGTAGGGACTGAGAGGTGAGTGGGTGACGCCAGGCCAACTCCAGGTGTGTGCACAGACGGTCTACACCCACCTTTGGGCAGCACAGGCACTGCGTCTGGGGAGGGAACAGGCTGGGCAGGTGAGAGTGGGTGTGGCGAGCTCCAGTGTAAGAGCCTCCCAGATTTTACTCCACTAGTGCCGAGACGAGACATCCCAGCCCAGAATGTGAGATGCCATCAGATGGAAGTCTACAAGCACCCAAGACCCACGTGGGTTGTACAGTGGGTGGAGTTTTACGCCCTAGGGCCAACGCTCAAGAGTCCCAGCATTTCTCATTCAGGCCAAAAGGATGAGCCAGCCAGAAGAGGGGCGGGGGAGAGGCAGATCAGGGAGTGGGTCGGGCTGCTTGAGAAGAGACCCGAGGGGAGGAAGCCACGTCCCAACGTGAACTCCCTCGCTGCCCTTACAGGACTGCCCATATGCCCCTTGGGTCCTGGTGGGTTTCGTTTCTTGCCTAAAAGCTTCTCCAGCATCCAGCCCCTATGACACGTGTCCCAGACCAAAAAAAGTGTCCAAAGGGTATAAGGGGAGGCACAGGTGTTGGAAATCCACGACCACTGGGGGAGGGTGCCCCTATAGGCACTATAGCAGGCTTTCTGGTGGCAGAGGCAGGGATGGCCCAAGGGACACTGCTGAGTAAGTGACAGCCAGGCCCTGCACAAACGACAGGCGCTGGAACAAGACACAGCCACACCCATTCCAGTACCACCAAGCATGGGAGCGACCGTGAGGAGACAGCCGGAGCCTGGGGCAGTGAGAAGGCTTGGTCACTCCTCTGCAAAATGGGGTGTGGGCCCACTTCCCAGGAACACGGCATTTCACAGAGCTATGACAACGCCAGCTCCTGGACAGGGAAGGCCAGGACAGAGAGAAACGTGGGTGTGGGCCCACGTGTGACAGAGGCTGGCCTGGCTGTCTATGCCTGGCCGCGCCCATGGAGGTGTGTGGTGAGGGGGCAGAATAGCGAGACTAGCACAGGCAAGGCCCAAGGACGCGAGACAGAGGAGGGCAGAGGCCGAGGGGCATATGGGGCTGGGCGAGAAGTCCTGAGGATAGCTTTGATGGGGCGGGCCGCAGTAATAGTGGGAGGGGCTGGGCATGATTCAAGGGCTACGGGTCACAGCCAGATGCTCCGTGTGCAGGGGTAGCACTCAGGGCCCGCAGCCTGGCAGGACACAGGATGTGGCAGTTTAGAGAAAGACAGGCAGGTGGGGAGGCAACTGGGGAGAGAAGGGGCCTCGGGAGCTGCCCCACAGGCACCAGAGGGGCCTGCCCTGACCAAGGCTACTTTCACTCTCTACTGACCTACCAGCCGTAAATGCTGCCACAGTCCCCCCTCAAAGCCCTCCCTGCCCACCTCCTGCCCCCAAGCACCTCACCATGACTGCCCATGTGAGCCGAAGAGAAGCCGCTCAGCGTGTTACGTCCGGAGGCGTCGGCGTAGCGGGGCATGGCGCTCACTACAGCCTGCAGATACTTCTCCTGCTCCAAGCTGCTGGAGTCGGCCTGGGACTGGCCTGAGAGAGAAGGTGGGGCTGGAGGAGGGCAAGGTGGAGCAAGATGGAGGGAGGGGATGGGCTCGATGGAGGAGATCAAGGTGGAGCAACCTGGAGGGGGGGGCCAGAGGAGGGCACGGGAGGGCTGACGCTGAGTGCTTACCCGGAGAAGGTGCATTCTGGGCCTTAAACAGGCCAACGACCCCCTTGCCATGCAGGCCACCAGAGCGCAGGAGCACAGCCTTGGAGCGCCCGCTGCGCCAGCAGACCACAGGGAAGCGGTTCTGGCGGTAGCAGCGAGACACACGCTGCAGGGCGTTGTCCTGGACACTCTGAGGAACGATGAGCAGCCCCGGGTAGCTGCAAGAAGGCCCACGAGGGGCTCACACTCAGATCAGGGAAGGAACAGCCAAAATGTGGCGGGGCAAATGGGTAGCCCACATCTGCCCAGCACTCACAGGCCAAAGGCACTTTCCACACCCGCCACCACCACCGTGGGCCCAGCCTGCGCTCGCCCTCTCATCTGGCAACCTCTGCAACTGACCCTCTGCCCTCTTCCTCCTCCATGTTCTTCATCCAGCCAGGAGCCATGGCCCAAGTTCTGCCCACCATGAGGCCAGTCCTGACTCCCTGGCGGCTCCCAGCCAGCCCTCACCTGCGGCAGATGGCATACATGCGGTTGACAGGGGAGATCCGGAAGGGCTCGGACTTGGCGCGGCTCAGGCTGCTGCTTAGGGTGCCCAGGCCAAGGCGCTGGTAGTCACGGCAACATGCCCTCTCCACCAGGCTGCTCATGGTCATGCGATCTGAGGGCTTCAGCGCTGAGGACGGTGTGAGTGTGCTGGGCTCCAGCTCTTCTGACACTGCAGGCCAGGCACATGAGGGTCGTCACCCAGAGGCCACCAGATGCCTCGCCTCCATGCAGGAGCTGTCATCCAGAAACTGCCAGGACTGCAGCCTCCTGTCCCCACCTGAGATCTCATCTTCCTGGTCCTCAGGCGGGGGCTGGCCCCGGTGCTCCCAGTTGGGGGGGTTGTATTTCTTCCGGGTGACATACTGCCGCCCAATGGTCTTCTTGGCATTCTTCACCAGGTTCCGGGAAAAAGTTCTAAGGCACAGAGGGTCAGCAGAGGGGAGAAGGAAGGTTGTGGGGACAAGGGCACAGAGGTCTGGAGTCTGGGCAGGCACACAGCAGACACCCACCAGTCCCAGCCCTGGGACTTGCTCCATACCTGAGAGAAGGACCCTTGTCCTTGGCAGCTCGGGGTGGCTGGCCAGGAGTGTGGGCGCCCAGGGTGAATGCGAAGGTGCCCCGCAGGTCTGGGGGGTACCGCAGCTTGTGCAGCTGCTTGCGGAAGAGCTCAGCGCTGTCAGACCCCACCTCCTCGTCAAAAGCCATTTTCAGCAGCTGCATCAGAAAAGGCCCTCAAGAGTACGAGTAACCCCAAGGTTGACTGAGGCTCCCCAACTCCCTTCTCACTGCGGCCACACCATGGGTGAGGCTCTGGAGGCCCCGTGCCCGTGACACTCCAAGCCCAGTGTAAGCCACGAAAGGGCCACTGGCTACGTGACAAGGTCCGTGCTCTAGACATGGCCTTGAGGGTCAGGATCCCAAAGACATAGCAAAAAGGTGGCACACCAGGTGGGCAGAAGACACCGAGCTGTGCGCGGCAGGGCCTCAAGCTGGCCGTCCTCTCACAGCGGCTGCTGGCTGGGGCTGGCTCAAAAGCAGCTCACACTTTGGGGAAGGCCAAGCTCGGCCAGCTGTGGCCCACCTGGAATGTGCAGGAGCGCAGCTGCAGCCCGTCCTGCAGGAGCTGGTCCACCGGGGCTGGGGTGCTGATGCGCTTCTCCTTGGTCAGCGCGGCCACAGGGAAGGAGCGGACCACCACCTGCTCCCCCACTGCGACAGGCAGGACACGGGGTCAGCGGGGAGGTCACAGTATCCAGGGGCCACATTGTGGGCAACGCGCTGAGAGGAGGGCAGACAAGGGCCCACCTCCCACAGGGACACTGCACCCTTGAGAAGGGGTGGAGGAGCTGGGAAAGCCCTACCCCCAAAGACCTGACAGGGAGGAGAGAGGGACAGAAGACTCACCCAGGGGGTCAGTGGGCATGCCCGTGAAGATGACCCGGTATGTGGTGAGGAAGACGGCGCCCTCTGCCGGGAGCAGTGCAGGGCCACCCCCGCTGCCCCCTGCCCCCTCCTCACGTCCATCCGGCAGCAGGTAGACACGCAGGCCATCCAGCACGCACTCCTCCCCAGGCAGCAGGCGTGGCCGCAGCAGCTTGGGCTACTCAGGGACAGGAGCAGTCTCAGAGGCAGTCCAGGCCTGGTGCCCACAGCCTCACCTGGGCCCACTCACCTTCTGAATGGGGGGCAGCCTCTTGCTCTCACGGTGCACAGCCTCCAGGGTCTCGATGTGCATCTGGACTATGTCTGGGGAGAGGAGTGTTCACCCTGGGCTCCAACACCTGCCCACCTGCAGGGAGTGCACCCACGCCCGACCCCGTACCTGGCACCATGACGTGCAGCCCCTTGAGGTGGTCGCTGGTGACGCCACTCTCTGTGCAGACCTTGTCCACAAAGCGGTTGATGAAGCGGACCACAGCGCCAGCCACGTCACAGGTCTCCGCGTCCTCAAAGCCACTCTCCGTGTCGTAGCTTTCAGCCACACT